CAGTTACAGCAGCTCATGACATGGTTTGGCTGCATGTTGTCATGGCGATCAGCTGTTTTTATGTATTTTATCCGCAGGCGAAGAGCGACAAGAAATCAGACTGAGGAGGACATCGACGGTTCCCGGCTTCTTTCATCTTCATCACCGTCCTCAGCAAACTGTCTGCTGCCTCTGCTTCCACCTCCGCGATGTGATGTCACCGACTTTTGGGCCAGCTGACATCACCGATGGCTGCGATTGGTTAATCAGACTGTCTGAGCTCCAACATAAGAATGTCGGTTTACTGTCAGACTTCCTGTGTCACTGTTTACACCTCTGAAGTGTTTCTGTTTTTCTCTCTTCTGTCCACTTTGCTGTTTAAAGGCCAGCTTTGGGGTTCTGTTGTCCTTTAAACAGCTGACCTTTTCCTTCACTTTCCATAAACTGTTTTCTTCTGAGGACATTCCCTGATTAACATTTTTGGAGCAAAGTAAATCCAAACAATGAATCCTGTTCCCTGCAGGAAAAGACCATCTTCATTCCAAAATAAAAGCATTTAGTCCTCTCTGCACATTCTGGTTTAAAACATGCTTAAAAAAGTCCAAAGGATGGCTGTGCCGTCAGATTTCCTTCTTTCTTAAACTGTAATTTCCATCGAGACTCTTGTGAATATGAATGTTTGGAGCTGCAGCAAAGATCACTTATTACGAGCAAAACAAGACTCCGGCGTCTCCCCTGGTTTCTTCTTCTGGTTTGCCTGAACTCTGCCTGAACTCTTCGTCACTGTTAGCCGTGTGCTGAACACACACTTTAAATTTTGGAGCTGTTTGATGCTCCACTTTCGGTTATTCATTACAAAATGTTAAGAAAAGAAAAGAAAAGGCACCCGTGTCTGTTCTGCTTGTGTGGTGTGATCAGATTTTTGTTGTGTCTTTAATGACGTGTCACAATAAACATGGATGATTTCAACAACAGTAAGACCCCGTGTGGTGCGAAAGGGTTTGATATGTCAGGTTTTTATAGGCTTAAAGGAAATTAGTGATAGGAGGAGGGCTGATGATCAGCTGATCATGAAACCATTTTTTTTTTTTCTTTGCTTGAAGGAAAAAGTGCGTTTATCTTTGAGGATGGATCAGAGTCGCCACCTTATCCCTCTTTAAAAACACGAGCAGGTTTTTTTCTGAAAAGGTTTAATCATCATTTTTCTTGTTTATGTGGAACTTCTGGTTTCTTGGCTTTTGTTGGGGGAAAGTGGACGCAGCTTTCACCTCAGTTTACCGTTTGGCTGTGGGTCGATTCCTGATCGTTCTCATGTACGAGCGTCACTTCACGACTTTACTCGGGTTTTGTTTTTGCATTTTAATTCTCATGAGGTTTATTCTGCAATTAATGGCACTTTTTAAAATCACATTTTTGATATTTTAATGCATTATTTTGTTCTTTCATCTCATTTTGCCACATTTCCACTTGGACTATTTTGAAGCCTTTTCTCCTTTAACCGCAATTAAAGTGCGTTTAGTCTCCAAATCTCAAAGGCGTCACAGAAGGAAAAATATTTTCTGTTTGAATTCAACCATATTGTGACCGCTCTGTTGACATGGGTTAAGGAGCGATCCCCTAAATATTAATATGTAAAACAAACTGTTCGTGGTGATGGATGAAAGTGTTTTATTAAATCACCTACAATTTATCTGGAGTTTTTCTTTTTACAGTAATTTTTTTTTCTTCTGTTAAACCCACAATGAACAAAATGTTCTTTAATTTCTTATGAAAGCTTCTGTCGTCTATTTTATGAGTGAGGCTAACTTTTTTTTTTCTTTCCTCCATTTGAAGAAGAATTTGAACTTTATGGCCGTATACTTTAATATCATTAATATAGAATCACTCGTGGGTTTTTTGATGCAGTGAAACGTTTCACTCGATCTTTCCTGTAAAAAAAAAATAGAATAAATTGTTTCTCCCAATGGAAAAAATCAAATTCAGGATCTTAGTAAAATGGAAAACGTCAAAACATTCTGATTCTAAAGGAGTCGGAGGTTTTTCAGAAGCAAATAAAATTTGAGGAATGTTTCCTGGAAGTGATCTGGAAGCAGACCCTGTAAGTTGAAGCGTTACCACCTCAGTGGTTTAAGATCTGCTGCATGTGTTTGTTCTGTTTCAGTCACAACCTTCAATAAACTGACAGAAACTCCGACAGCCCTTCATCAGGACGATTATATTCAGATCAAACTTTGTGTCGATTCTTTTTCTTTCTCGTGGCTAAACTTGGTGTCGCATCTTCACCTCCTCTTCACACTTAAAAAGGCAGCTGTTGGTCTAAATGGGCGTTTGGCATTAGAAACTGGTTTGAGCCGCACGGCCGAGCCTTCCCACCGTCCCGCTGGCTCAGCTTTCTCCATAGATCCAAGCGCTGACTTGTTTTTAAGCCTCCAGTATTTCTTGTCAGCTGCTTCCTGGAAGTTCAGACTGTGTTTGAGCCGTTCAGGCCTCAGTGAATATTTATAATGATCAACAGACCTGCTGCTTTCATGGCCACAGTGCATGCAGTACAGCAGAGGATTTGAAAGAAAATCTGATGTCCTGCTGGTTGAAGATCTGGTGTGTTTCGTTAAATATCGTCTGATTGAATCTCCTTTAACATGGACTGTAGCCTGCTTTACTTTTCTTAGATGTTTCTTAAACACATCACATGACCACAGGAGGACAACAAGACTGATCACAGTCATAAAGTTACAGTTTGGAAAAGACGAAAGCCAGAAGAACATTATACCAGAACTCGAAACCAAAGACTAAGTGAAAAACTGATCGGAGTAAAAACATTTTCTTAAAAGTTTGTGTCTGTTTCAGGGTTTAGGTTTGATGGGATAGAATTAGGTTCAGCGTACAGGACTTGGCACGCAGTTGTGGTTGAAAGTAGAGTTAAGAAACTTAATGTGAACAAATGTCCTCAAAGATTTGGGCTTCTCCTCAGACACACAGGATTTTGCCTCATAACACTGACACAATAACTGACAGATGGCCATACGGTGATCTGTTAAATACGAGTGGAATACTGGACTTTTTGGGCCGAGCCTCTGACCATCCATCCGTCTTCTTAACCGCTCGGTGTCTACTTGAAACCTTTTTTTTGTAATGGACTGAGAAACATTGTGGGGTCTCTGTGAAAAAGTTCGAGAACCTAAATGAACCTAATAAGTGTGTATTTTGGACTGAGAGGTGAAACCTGAGTATCAGGACCCTAATACAAACAAATATACTACCAAAAGTTTGGACACAAACTTTTATTTTCATGAATATTTAAATTGTACATTCTTCCTGAAGGCATCAAAACTGAACGAACACATGCAAAAGTACGGAGCAAACAAAATAAATCCTAAATAAGTCTTAATATGTTTTATATTATAGATTCCTGAAAGTAGCCGCCCTTTGTTTTGTTACCAGCGCTGCAAACCCTTGAACGTCTCTCAGTCAGCTTCATGATGAAGTCACCTGAGATGGTTTCACTTCACATCTGTGCTTTGTGCCTCATTTGTGGTATTTCTTGCCTTCTTAATGAGGTTGAGACCATCAGCAGTGCAAAAGTCCGGTTGGCAGACAGCTGACAGCCCTGTTTGACAACTGTTAGAATTCAAGAACGGAAGTTCAGTCGGTCCAGGAAAATTCTTAAAACTTTGAAAGAAGCGCAGTTTATGACCTCAGACACTAACTGAACTGAATAAAACATTTAGTCCTTTTTTTCTATGCTGGTCTCCAGGATCAACACGTTATTGAGTGGAGGGCACACCGACTTAAAGGTATATTTAGCAGCTGCTCAACACGTGTGTGTGCGTGTGCGTGCGTGTGATCAGTTACAGTCAGGCTGAGCTTCTAAAAGCGTTTTCAGATATTTGATTTGACACTTGAAGCTCAACAGATGCCAAGTGTCATTTTATATTCACACAGGTCACCAGTTGCACTCTGTTGGCAGATTGAATTACAGATGTGGCGCACAATATCTGAGTAAGAAGAGCTCTGTGATGATCTGGAATAAATTTGGATAACAAAAGGAAAATAGATCAAAATTTGTCCGAGTGGTGTTTGTCACCCCCAAGTCGAACCAGTTTAACGCCGTGTCCCTTGTGAGAGTAAATGGATGACACAGTTTGGCTGCAATTTACTGAAGCAATCAGCTTCAATAAGCTTAAATAAAATAATTACACACAAACAAACATCTTCAAATCAGTGAAGTCATTAGAAGTAGACCATGATTGATTTTAATGGATCATTGAGGCAAGCGTACGTACACCCAGAGTTTTAACATTTTAATAATGTTTTAATATTCCATTACCTTACCTAAACAATTTAGAGGTCTGCTTCTCAAACTCTTTCTGAAAATCCTGATTTTAAATCTGATTATGATTGGAGTGGCCATCATGGATCGGCTCGAGATAGTTTAAAATATATCAAGCATCCAAAGCAATTGACAGTGCATGAGAGTGGGGGAGAAGAGAGCACAGACAGGGTGGAGTAGGTGGAGACAAGTGTCTGGAGCAATTTGTTACAGAAGGGTGGCAGCAAGAGTGGAGCAGAGGTTTACAAGGTGGTAGAGAGACCTGCTGTGATTAATGGTTTGGACATAGTGCACTGACAAAAAGACAGGACGTCGAGCAAAAGGAGGGACAGGGCAGGAGGAAAAGAGGAAGACCGCAAACATTATGCATGGATGTAGTGAAGAAGAACATGCAGAGCAGCCAAAACAAGTCCTTCTGCAAACTTTTATTTTCCCCACAGAAGTCGGATTCATTGCACTTCATTCATTCTTAATTCTATATTTACTCTCCCCACCTGCGGGGGCTGTATGACCCTCAGTTTAAAGACCTCTAGTGTAATAAATAAAACCTATTTTATGTGGGAAATTGTCGAAAATGGAAGATTTCACAACATGATATGCACTACCAGAAAGTGAGAGACTATGGAGCACAATGGGAGAAGAAGGAGACTTACAGGTGAGCTGTTCAGCACTGAAATGGGCCAATAACCAAACAGTACATAAAGCAGGGGTGGGCAACTCCAGGCCTCAAGTGCCAGTGTCCTGCAGGTTTTAGATCTCACCCTGGGTCAACACATCTGAATCAAATGTCCAGTCCATTAGCGGGCCTCTGGAGAACTTCAAGACCTGTCGAGGAGGTAATTTAGCCTTTAAATCAGCTGTGTTGGATCAAGGACACATCTAAAACCTGCAGGGCACCGGCCCTTGAGGCCTGGAGTTCCCTCACCCCTGACATAAAACCATATCTCCCCTCCTCCATGTGGTGACAGCAGATGGTTTGGTCC